GGTCAGAGGGAGAAGCAGACTCCCCGCTGAGCAGGGAGCCCGATGCGGGACTCGATCCCGGGACTCCAGGATCATGACCTGAGCTGAAGGCAATCGCTTAACCAACTGAGCCACCCAGGCACCCCTTATTTTAAAGATGAGGAAATCAGAGCTAAGATTCTGAACTGGAGTTTGAACCTAAATCTGTTTACTTCAAAGCCTAAGTTCTCTTTCTCCCATAGTAAGCTGCTATATAAGCAAAACCTGTAGATTATATCTAGAGGGGAATTCTGGGATTCCAGTGGTGGTGGTGTAGGATTTTAATCTTCCCAAATCATCTTGATAAAAATAGTCAACAACTAGATGAGCATAACCAAAAAAAAAGAAAAGCCACAAACATCTATATCAAAACCAGGTTACAGAGTAACCTATTGAACCCTAAAATATGAATTAGTAGTGAGAAAATACTGATAGCTACTAGGTCTACATCTGTCTTTCTGGCAGCAGAGAGAATTAATGGGCATCGGATGGACCTGAGAACAGGGGTACTCCAACATAGTTAACAAGTATTCATTGGCTAGTCTAGTAGATTAATGTGGAAACAATAGCTAACCCTGGGAGGGCTCTTGCAGACTCCATTTTGGGGTGAGGGTAATAGGTCCACGCTAAAGGTTGAAGGAGTTGGAGCAGCCTGGGTCTGTAAACTCTCAAAACTAACCAGCCATAGCTCCCTTCCTGGGCAGAGCCCTCCTATTAAGGAAAAAGTGCTGGGAATAGAAGCCACATTGATTACGATAGAGACAGTAGGTGCAAAGGAAAGATAAAAGTTGGAAGGGGATCATAATCGGAACCCCATACATAGTTACTGAAAAATGACAAGGAATAACATAGCTTCTCTATAGACAAATGAAAGTACACTAGAAAGATATGCACAGAAAACTAAAATCTAATGATTCAGAATGAGCCAACAAATTAAAATGATAAAAGATGAAAGAAGAAAATGGATCATAATTAGAAATGAGGTAATAGAACTTAGGAAAGAATTGAAAAGGAGGATAATTTCTGAAAAGAAGAGTAAGCTTGATGCAACACAGATCAAATAAATATGACAGATAATGCCTTAAGAGAAACAGAAGGTAAAAAGAAGAAAAAATTTTAAAATAAAAAATAAAAAGTATTTCAGGAAAGTGACAAAGATAGAGTATCTAATAGACATGTATTAGGAGTCCTTGCAAAAAAGGAAAAACAAAAACCAAAGCATGGAATATAACAACTGCTAAAATTTATAATTCCAGACAAAATGTCCCCAAATTAAATGATTTAAAGCTAAATATTAAAAGGACATATTGCATACCTGGGAAAATTGAGACCACCAAACACTGAGCATAACCTGGTAAAATAACAAAATCTTCAAGAAAAGGAAAAAAATTCTTTGGGTATCTAGGGGAAAAGGTCAAGTTTTACTTATAAAGGAAAGAAAATCTGATCTCAATGCTTTATGATCTCAATGAAATAACATTTAATAACATTTAACTGACTTTCAAGTATAAAGGCTACAAATTGCTGTGAACATGTAAGAATTCAGAGAATCTTGTTCCCATTAGCCTTTTCTGATTAATCTATTAGAAAATGGGTCTCAGACAGCCATGGTGACTGGAGAGATACCAACTGAAGGGCTGATAGTGGACATTAAATATGTATTTGTTGAACTAAGATTAAAGGATAGTTAAAGGAAGGGGTAGAATCTATGTAATGGTTATATGCTCTATCATCACAGATAAAGTACAACTGTCAAAAAATGGGATGGGAATGGAGGGAGCATATGGAAAGTTTAGTAAGCTGTTTGCCTTTTAATTATTAACTGGAATGGAATACTATTATTTTAAATCAAAATATGAGGGAGAAAGAAGGTAAGGGTAAGAACATGAGTGACTCATTTCAGCGTTGTACATACTGGGGAACCAGTTGACTCACACACTCTCGCTCTTTTTTTTAAAGAGGGAATTAGGTTTTATATATATAAATTATATATTAGTATTATTGTAAATATAACTGTTAGGACGATGCAGAGTTTATGTGAAAAAAGCAAACAATGGAGGGATTAACCATTAAGTTAAAAAAACAGGTTTCATATCTAAAAAAGGAATGTGGTATAGGGGACAAAGGTAGAAGGGAGACGTCTTTGAATATGCCTTGTTTTATAGATTTGATTTGAAACCACATATATATTTTATACAATTATAAAGCAAAATTAAATTCCTAAAAGTGGAAAATAAAATGAACAAACCTAAATGTGTATCTTCTTGGCATAACCATACAGAGAGAAAAGTACAAGTGATTTTTAAACATAGTAATTTGTCTTTGTATCTTTTTAGGAAGAATATACCCTAAAGAACTGCATGTAAAAAGCAATATTTTAACAGTTTTCAACAGTTTTCAGAGATCTTGTTGTTTGTGGTAGTGTTAATGTTATTATCCTGAGATTGTTGTGTGATATCACAAGAAACCAAATGAGTACTTATATGGTAATTCTGATTCTGTTATCCCCAGTGACCTTGAGAACCAGAATGATCAGGGTGGGAAACAGATACGGAAGTAACATAAAAGGCTGAGTAAAAACCCTATAGTCTTGAATTTGCATTGGAAGAGGGTTTTTACTTATGATTTATTTTATCTTCAAGACAAAACACCCTCCTAGCACTATTTCTTAGCTCTGTCCATGAAAAGACTTAGAAACAATAATTCTAGTAACAATAACCAAACTTGTGCCCAGATTATAGTCTTGAAATAGCCATTCTCTCTGTAAGGAACCAGTCTTTGGAGAAATGGCTAATTCTAGCTCTTGTCAGGAAGTGAACAAGATGAGCCTCATAACAGATGGTAAGGAAGCTATCAGAGGTTTCTAGGTCATGTTAAAAGGATCCAGCAGCCAACTTGGAGTGTTTCTTATCAAATACAGAGACAGATGAACTATTTAAATTATACCAATTAGCAAAGTTCAGATTGTAAGAAAGTTCATAGGGCAAATAACCCTGTTTCTTCAACAAATAACTGGCAAAGAAAAATACATGTATAGACTTTATTTGGAACTTGATTTAAGCAGACTGAAAAATTTTATCATTTATGAGGCAATTCGAAATTTGAACACTGGTATTTTATGATATTACAGAGTTAATTGATAATTTGGGGAGGGTTGTTAGTAGTATTGTAGTTTTGTTTTTTAAAAAAAGTTTACATGGGGGCGCCTGGGTGGCTCAGTCGTTAAGCGTCTGCCTTCGGCTCAGGTCATGATCCCAGGGTCCTGGGATCGAGCCCCGCATCGGGCTCCCTGCTCCGCGGGAAGCCTGCTTCTCCTTCTCCCACTCCCCCCGCTTGTGTTCCTGCTCTCGCTGTGTCTCTCTCCGTCAAATAAATAAATAAAATCTTTAAAAAATAAAAAAATAAAAAAAAATAAAAAAAAGTTTACATGATTAATAATACAGGAGGAGAAAATAGATAGGGGAAAACAAGATTGGCCATGAGCTGAAAATTGTTAAAAATAGTTGATGGGTACATGGGAATTCAAAATACTGTTGTCTACTTTTGTATGTTTGAGACTTTCCATAATTAAACAGTTAAGGGGGAAAAAAAACAAAGAATGCAGCCTCATAGAGTTTGAGATGATGGAAAATTCCAAGAGAAAATGTCTAATTAGAAGTTAAAATTGATGTGTGTTAGAGGGCAGGGAGAGGGATAAATAGGGCGAGAGAAGTATATTTCGGAGTTTTGGAAATAAGGTGATAGTTGTCAAAGTGGATTAAGCTTTTAAGGAAGAAGAGAAAAAAACAAAGGAATAAAATTTGGGGGAGAATGGATTTAGGGATCTGAAAAAGGACAAGGAGCCAGTGAGTGGAGAAAGAGAAGGAACAGGCAGGAAGGTTAGACTGTCATCCAGAAATTAAGGGAATAGTTTCAAGTAGTTGGGGTCAAATGTTGTGGAGAAGGCAAAAGATAAAACACTGAAAGGCAATCTACTCTGTTAGGAAGTAGTCAGGTATTATTACTATTCTTCACCAATTTTCTAGTGGTGTAATTTGCTATTCTGGTGTGCTTAAGAGAATGGGTTTTGGACTGGAGTTTGAAATGGGCCTAATAATAGTGCTTTACTTTCAGGGTTATATGTATTAGGTGAGTTAATTTATATAAAGCTCTTAGAACAGTATCTGCCACATGGTAAGAGTTGCTGCTGATTGTGTTCTGAACCCAATTGCCCTTCTTTTCCTATATATATATATATATATATTTTTTTTTAGGTTTATTTATTTATTTTAGAGAGAGAGTGCATGGGGAGGAGGGGCAGACTCCCCACTGAGCACAGAGCCCCAGGTGGGGCTCCATCCCCCAACCCCGAGTTCATGACCTGAGTCGAAATCAAGTTGGATGCTTAACCAATTGAGCTACCCAGGCTTCCCTTTTTCCCATATATTTAATAAGCATGTTGTTTCTACATACTTCTATCTTGGAATGAATACTGATTCCCTTTTTGGTTTAAGTATAGTTTATTTTAGAAATCAGATTTTATTTTTTTAGGCTAGATTGATGAATTTTGGACTTTTTGATTTATAAATTCTCAAGATGTAAGATAGGATTATGGGGTTAAAAGGTTGGATATCAAAAAGCAAAATTTTATGAATTCTTATGAATGATAGACTGTCATGATTTATTTTTGATTTTATATTCTTGTGGAAGTTTTGTTTATTAAAATGTTTTTTTTTTTTTCATTTTTTTAGTGGACAGCAAAGCAAGGTTTATTGAACAATAGTACAAAGCTCCTGAAGAGGGAGGGGACCTGAGACAGTTGCCCTAATAAAATGTTTTTTAAAGATACTCTTTAAAGTTTGTAACTAACAAATAACCCACTTGAATATGTTGTCCTTTAACAGTTTTTTCATTAGGAACAAAAGAAAATTCGTACTTTAAACATGTGAGAACTAATGATTGATTTTTTGTTTTATGGTATGTACTTTAGACTTGGGAACATGAACTTTTTTTTTTTTGAAAGACTTTAGGTAAAGTTGGCCGAGTACAACAGATTTATTCAGACAGTGATTTAAAGGTGGAAGTTTGCGGAACATCTTGGACGTATAATCCAGCAGCAGTTTCCAAGGTGGCGTCTGCAGGATCAGCCATTAGCAATGCATCTGGTGGTATGTTTGTATTGTTGTGTCTTTAAAAGTAATATGGTTTACATTAGAACCTTTGCTAATTCCTCGATTCTCTTGTACAGTTAATGTTGTATGTGTTCATGGTTTTCTCCCAGATCACATGACCTCATTTGAATGTTGACTGACTTCTATACTTTCTCTAAAGGTTTTTTTATTTTTGTTCTGACTGAGGTATACCCTGGAAAATTTCCTTAAATAGGTGCTTTTTCTTGGGTATTATATCAAGGGCTTTTCCACATCAAATCTGAGAAAACTGAAATTCGTCATTGTATTCTTTAGTCTGAACTTTTGTTTTCTGCCAAGAAACATCACTTTCTTAGCCTACTTTATTCTCTTTTTATTTTCAACATTGTTGCTAGCAGATGGCTTTCTTCCTGGATATTTTTACATATCAGCCATATTTTTTCTATTTATTTTATTTTTATCTTTTTTAAAGATTTTATTTATTTATTT